AGCCAGTCGATGGCGCTCTCGTGGCAGATGAGCCCTGGCTTGGGCGAGGCGTTCGACGAACAAAACAGTTGCCCAGGCATGCCCACACCTCAGAAGAGGACGAGATACCGATACCGCTGTTCGTTCCGGAGAATCTTCGTCGCCACGGCTAGATTCTCCTCGAATTTCTGGTCAGAACGCACCCCAGGAGAAGGTCTGGGGAAGAGCGCCGTCGGTATCTGTTGGTTTCCTCAAGGTTGTCACAACTCATTGAGAGTAGGTATGTGTGTATTCCGAGTGTTTTCCAATCTACCTTGAGAGAGCCTTCCTTTTCTGAGAGTCGAACTGTTTCACCATTTTTTTCCTGTCAGGGAGCTGGCGGAAACTACTTTCGACGCTTTCCTACTTCATGCTTCTACCCACATCTTCCTGACGATCCAAGAAATCATCGCGGACCTCCGACAGTTTGTTTCTCTCTAGCCCCAGGCGTGCGACGTGAGGGTGAACAAGTCTCTGCACCCCGCGTCCGTCCAGGGCAACTTCAAGAACAAGCAGCGCAACAAGGAGGAGATGGCCTTCGCGGACTACGCGTTCGGCCTCCGCCACGATGGCAGCGGGAACTCGCAGCTAGGCGGCATCATGTATGCCGAGGACCGCGTCACCTTCTTCCCCAACACGTCGGCGCACTTTGCTGGCCCCGCCCTGCTCGAGCTGCACTTCCGGGCGATGGTGGAGGCAGAGGGGGCCAGGCCGCTGCACCTCGAGGTGTCCAGCCAGCCGCTCCCGGCCACCGGCCAGGAGCGTGGCGTCATCGCGGGCATCGGTGGTTTTGCCATGGGGATGGTCGTCTTCACCGCGTACTCCTTCATCGCGACGGGCATCGCGGCGTACGTGACGATGGAGAAGGAGCTGGAGGTGAAGCAGCAGCTGATGATCTCCGGCGCGAGCCCGCTGGCCTATTGGGCCTCGAACCTTGGCTTCGACTGCGTGTTCGGCCTCTTCGCCTTCGTCGGCACGATGCTCGTGATGGCCATATTCGGAGCCCGTGAGTGGTGCAGCTTCCCGAACATCGGTGCCACGATGACCCTCCTAACGCTGTTCACGCCCGCAGTCTCGCTCTTCGCGTACTTCTGGTCCCACTTCTTCAACACGTCTGGGAGCGCACTCATAGGCGTTCTCATGCTGGGCCTGTTCCTCGGCACATTCGGTATCAACATCTCCGAGACGCTATCGCTCTTCCCGCAGACTCGCGCATATGGCCAGGGCGCGCTCATGATCATCGAGGGGATGCTGCCCTCGGCTTGCGTCGGGCACGGTCTGATGAAGTTGGCGATGTACAGGGACATCTCCAAGGCGATGGACGTCAGCCCGTTTGCTGGCTACCTGACGGGCACCGAGTTTTGCTCGCCCGTCCGCGGGAGCCTGCCGTGCGTGGTCAACGCGGGCGACGACTGCATAATGCTGCTGGTCGACGTGATCCTGTACGCAGGCTTGATTTATTCGAGTGGCTTACGCCACTCAGCCGACCCCCAGAAGGAATGAGAGCTTGCGGCGATCGTGGAAGCTGTTTTGGTGGGTCAGGAGCCTCTTGGATGCAAGTGAGGATATCTGAGGGGCTCTTGGGATCCTTCTGAGGTGCATCTCGGAGGGCTGTGTGTTACAACTGGGGGGCTTGCAGTGGCTTCTTGGGGGTCTTCTTGAGGGCCGCGCCTCGGGTCCTCTGGGGGGCAGCTATCTTGGGGGGCCCGGCTCGATACGTTAGTTCGTGGTCGGCGTCTCAAAGCCATTCTTGGGGACCGCATGAGCCTTTCCAGGCCGTCTTAGGGGCACCTGGGGCCGTCCTGGGACCCTCCCAGTCAGTCTTGGGGCTATCTTGTGGGCCTCATGGCCCGTCTTGGGACGAACTTGGGGGCTCCTTTGACCGTCTTGGACGCTGCCAAGACGAACAAGGCAAGTGTGCCAAACATGCACGTGTTCTTGTTGGAACGGGATGAATGTTTTTTTCTTTGGGCCGTCTCGGCGGTCCTTTGGAAGCACTCTTGTGGGCCGTCTTAACGGCCCCGTGGGCCGTCTCGACGCAATCTTGGACCGTCGTGGGGCTACCCTAGGCCGTCTTGGGGTCCTCTTGGATTGTCTTGGCGCTCTCTTGGATTGTCTTGGCACTGTTTGGGCCCTCTTGAGCCGTCGTGTGGCTTTCCGGAGGCTCTGGTGGCCCCGGAGGCGCGTTGACGAGCTCGTGCCCCCACCAAGGGGGAGGGGGCGGGGGAGCCCTCCAGTCAGAGTTTGGACCTGGGGGAGGGGGAAATAGGGAGGGGGGCAACCAAACGTCTCACACGCCTTTTCTGGGGGGCGGCCAAGAGGGGGGTGATCACTAGGGGGGGTGATCACTTGGAGGGGTGGATATCATGGCGTGGGCCATGATCGTTCCTCAAATTTCGCGGCGCCTCTTCTTCTTTCATTACGTCCTTTGGACCCCCCCCTGGGCCGCGCACATGCCGCCAGCTATGATTTGCGCCCCCCCTCTTTGACGCCTCCCTCTTGGCCGCCCCCATGTTTCACCCCCGGCAAGCGGGGGTTGGCGGATCTGATCGAGGGCAGTGGGAGTCGTGCTAAGTGGGTGCAGAAGAAGCTTTCCTTCATGCGAGACCCGCGGTGCCCGTCGAGCCTGCAGCGTGTAGAGGACGAGGACGTCTGCGCCGAGCGGGCGCGGGTGGCAGGCCTGGACGCAGCATCGCAGGTGCTCGTAGTCGACGACATCTACAAGGCTTACAAGGGCGGAGTGCATGCTGTGCGTGGCATCACGTATGCTGTGGGCGAGGGGGAAGTCTTTGGGCTTCTGGGCGTCAATGGGGCTGGCAAGACGACCACTTTCAAGATGCTGTGTGGTCAGATCGCGCCCTCAGCAGGCCGGGTGCTCATCCGGGGTAGAGACGTGGCAGATGATGCCACTGGCGCGAGAAAGCTCATTGGCTACTGCCCGCAGTTCGACGCACTGCTCGACCTTATGACGACGAGGGAGCACTTGGAGCTGTTCGCCCAGGTGAAGGGCTTGGAGGGTCCACGCATGGAGGCAGAGGTGCAGCAGAAGCTGGCCATGGTCGACCTGGCCAGCTTCGAGCACTCCCGTGCCTGCCAGCTGAGCGGGGGTAACAAGCGCAAGCTGTCCTTCGCCCTGGCGATGATCGGGGAGCCCGAGATTGTGTTCTTGGACGAGCCCTCGGCGGGCATGGACCCCGTGGCGCGGCACTTCATGTGGGACGTGATCCGCTCCATCGCGCAGCGACGGCCGACCAGCGCCGTCATCCTGACCACGCACTCCATGGACGAGGCGGACTCCCTCTGCTCGCGCATCGCCATCCAGTGCTCCGGCCAGCTGCGCTGCTTGGGCTCCCCACAGGAGCTGAAGCAGCGGTACGGCACGGGGCTGGAGCTCAACGTCCGCCTGGAGGCGCCGCGCCGCGCCGACGTGGAGCTTCTCTGCGCGGAGTGGAAGGGCGCCCTGGACACTGAGTGCCCCGGCGCGGAGGCGGTGCAGCTCGTGGAGCGGCGCGCGGCGGCGGCGTACATGCCGCCGGCCCACGGCAGCAGCGCCATCCTGCTGGGGGCGCTGGCGGAGTGGTGCCTACTGCAGGAGATCTCTGACCCCAACATGACCCCCGAAACGTACAGTAGAAGCCCATGCCAAGAAACACCCTGCTTGCCTTCAGGGTGCCCTGGGTTTCGTGGATGTCGATGGTTTTGCTATGGAAACCGCAATTTCCCCACACCAATGATCATTGGACGTCCTGAGGTCGCAGGGTTGGGCTTCTCGTGGAAGGTTTCTTGTAGTCGAGCTCCTACTGCATAAGCCCAAACTCTCGGAGGCCCGCGCCCGCCTCCGGCGCCGCCCCAGGCGCGCGCCGCGCGCCGCGGGGAGGGGCTTTCGGCGCCGATCCAAGGGATCTGTGCGGGCTTCGGAGGCGTATGTCGACGATCGACGCTCGATCCATGCCCCGGCTGCCGCCCTCCACTCCGGGCGCCTTTGGCAAGCAGGGCACTGCGAGAACTCTTCACGCGTCGCGTATCTCCCTCAGGCCTTTTTTGAAACGCTGCCCATGAGAGCTGACGGAAAGTGGGAGGAAGATACACGTACGGCGAATCAAGGCTGGCAACCATGATGAGTTGAGGATGTGGATGAGGAGAGGGAGGAGGAGAAGGATATGGACGACGCCGCGAGAATGAGGAGGAGGAGGAGAAGACGGAATAATAGGAAGAGGAAAATAAGGACGAGAAGGACGGCGAGGGCAAGGACGAGGAGTAGGACGAAGACAAGGACGAGGCAGAGGACGAGGACGGAGATGATGACGAGGAGGAGGAGGAGGACGAGGAGGATGAGGAGGAGGTGGACGAGGCAGAGGAAAGGAGGAGGAGAGGACGAGAAGGACGAGGACGAGGACTCTGGCAGCCATCTGGGGGTGAGGCCCTCTTGGGGTGTTCTTGGGGCTCTCTGTGAGCCCTCATGGGGTTCTTTTGGGGGATCTTGGGGTCATCTTGTGGCTCTTTTGGTGGGTATGGGGGCCCTCTTGGGGCTCTCTTGGGGCCCCATTGGGAGCCCTGGAGGGCATCCTGGGGCCATCTTGAAGGCCATCTTGAAGGCCATCGATCAGAAGGGCAGGGTCCCTGATTTGCCTTCCCCCAAGGGGCCATCAAAACCGCCTCTGGGGGGTGGCTCTTGGGGCGCGGACTCTCAGAGCCGTCTGGGGGGGCCTCTTGGGCTCCTCTTGGGGCACTCTCGGGCCATCTTGGGGCAATCTTGAGGCCTCAGAAGCCCATCGGGAGCGAGCATGCGACAAAAGTCATGTGCCTTGGATGTTTGCGGATGTTTGCCTCTTGGGGGGGTCTTGATGGGGTTCCGAGAGCACTTGGAACCAATTTGGAGTTGTTTTTGGGGCCTCTTGGAGCATGCTGGAAGTCCGTTTGAGATATTTTCGGCAGTCTTGGGCCACCTTGGAGGCCATCTTGGAGCATCGGGGGCCCTCTTGAGGTCATCTTGAGCCATTTTGGATTCTCTAACCCCTCGGGCCCCCTCTCAAGAATCCTCAGGGAGAGGAAGAGGAGGGTACCCCTCCACGAAGGGGTGTGCCCCTATCGGGCCACGAGACAGGTCAGGGGTGTGCCGAAATGGGCCCGAGTCTGCATGTGGGTGCTGCGATTGGGGCCTCACGTGGAGCTCCCTGTGGGGCCACGAAGCGTGTGATGGTCATGTGCGATGCATGCATGCGCTGCGACTGGGGCCATATGTAGGGCTCCCTGTGGGGCCACGGAGCACGTGAGTGGTTTGCCAAAGTGGACCCGAGTCCGCATGCGGGCGTTGCCACTGCCCCCTTGGTGCCACGACACGCGTGAGAGGTGTGCCAAGAATACCCTTGGGCCTTCGGTGAAGCTCCCTGCGGGGCCACGAATCACGGAAGGGTTTTGCAACATTTATTCCGAGTCCGCATGCCGGCGTTGCCATTGGGGCCTATTGTGGAGCTCTGGGACCGCGAAACGATGAGTGAGGGGTGTGCCAGAATCGGTGTGGTCATGCATGCGGACCCTGCCACTCCGGCCTTCTGTGGAGCTCCACGGGCCACGAAACGTGTGAGGGTTGTGCCCGAATGTGCGTAGTCAGTTATGCAGACTTTACCACTCGGGCCCTTTGTGGAGCTCCACTGGGACCACGAAACTTGTGAGGTGTGTGCGTGTGTGCCAGAATTCACGTAGTCACAAACGTGGACTTTGCCACTGGGGCCCTCTGTGGGGCCACGAAACGTATGGACGTGGTCAGGCACGTAGACTTTGCCAATTGGGCGTTCTGTGGAGCTCCCATGCGGCCACGAGTAGTCTGCGGGGTGTGATAGAATGGGCGTTGTCAGGCATACTTACCTTCCCACGTGGGCCTCCTGTGCGGGGCCACGAACCGTGGGAGGGGTGTGCCGAAGCAGAGACATGGGGAGGGCAGAGGTAAGAGGTATGGACGAGGGAGGAGGGAGCGGGAGATGTGGCATCCGGGGCGCTGCTGATTCGGAACGAGGACCCAACACCACGGGCTGGCCAGGACACGTTGTAGCTCTGGAGAGGCCAGAGCTCGATGCATGCCGCCGCTCCGGCCCCCCGTGGGGTCCGTGCGCGAGCAGGGGCATCGGTGCAGAAGTCGATCGCCTGCTCCTGCAGCTGCTGCTCCCTCCAGGAGCGGGCGATGGCGGTGGACGCCTTCCTGGAGGAGCGGTGCGGGCGCGGCGGCCGGGCCAGCCGCGTGGAGGCCGCTGGCGGGTCCCTGAGGTACCAGCTCGTGGGCAGCTGCCCCGGGGGCGGCCCCATGGCCTACGCCGAGCTGTTCTCCCTGCTGGCCGGCAGCGTCGAACCGATCCCCGTCCTCACGGGGCCAGGGTGCGCAGTCAAGACGCTGATCACCGAGCGCGTTCCGCTACGCGCAAAGTGCCTACTCGCAAACGTCTGAAAAAAACATGCGTCTGCCTTTGTGCAATTCATCGCAGATCCCCCGCGGGGGATCCTGGCCATTTGCGAGTAGTGACTCTGCGTGTAGTGGACCGTTTTGGGCTCAAGGGGGGGGCCCTGGTCCTCGGGGCGGCCCTCGGGCCCACGACGAGCCGTGGAAAACCGGTGCGTGGCCGAGGCTCGCTCCTCGCGCTCGGTGCTCCTCGTGGTAGGGCGACAGCTGCACGTCGGCTCCACCAGCTGTCCGCCTAGATGTCTTGGGTGTGCGCCGCGCCAGCCCCGGCGCGCTCCGCGCGCCAGTGAGGGGGGTCCAGTGCCGCTCGGAAGTGTATCTCCGTGTCGCTTCCTCTTCTGCTGCGCCAGCCCGCCCCCCCCGCCCCCCAGGCGGGAGTAGGCCCCACGAGACCCGAAGGGAGAAGCCCGCGCATCTCATACCCCCACTCGGTCGGGTCAATTTGGCCAGTGGGGCCAAGGCCATGCCGGTGGGGACGGGGATCGGCCAAACGGTGCCCAGGGCGAGCACCAGCGGGCTTTGAGGCTCGCGGACTTCCAGCTCTCGCAGGGCACGCTCGAGCAGACCTTCAACCGCCTCGCGGCGGAGCAGCTCGAGAGGTCGGAACTCGACTCCGCCAGCCTTGGGGCCGCGGAGTGCGCGGACTTCGGGGGCCCTAAAACTCACCGGGCGCGTTCCACTACTCGCAAAGTGCCTACTCGCAAACGCCCGCGAGAAACACAGGCCTAATTACTTCGATGTAATCTATCGTCGATCCCCCGCGAAGGATCCAGGCGATTTGCGAGTAGCTACTTGGCGAGTAGTGGAACGCGCTCGTCTAAAAACGGTTCGCTGACCTCACGGTGTGGTGAGTCAGTGGGGATCTCGGATGGCCGCACGGTTTTGGGATTCGGGCCGATCTTTGAGACTGCCGTGGGCGACTGGGCCTCCAGGACCGTGCGATGGGATCTCTCGCGGGGTCACCGCGCGGTCTGTCGCCGCACCGTGCTGGGACCCCCAAGGACTTCGGCCAGAAGCAGAAGCCGTGCTAGTTTGTAGGGGCACACGACTCGCGTGCACCGTACCGCGTTGGCCTCCCCACTAGGCGCAGTCGATCCTCGACCCAAGAATGGTACGGTGTAGAGTTTTTCGCCCGCCAGAGCCGAACAGCTACGCACCGCGTTGGCAACTGTTGGAGCGGGGCCTGCATGGAGCCCTCATATGAGCGACGGAAAAAAAGGGGGTCGTCTGCGCCGACACTGGCGCGTAAGCTGCCCGCGTAAGGTCGCGCGTAAGCGCCGTCCGTCTCCACTGTGGCTTGACGCGCTGGTGGCCCGCGTAAGTCGCTATGCCATCTCGCCTAAGACCCGCTTCATCTCGGCGCCCACATGGTACGGTGCATGGGGCGCCGTTCTCACAGAGGCTGGGCTCTTTTCCGCCCTGCCCGGCCGCCTCGTCCGCGCCCTCGCCGCGGAGCCCAGGAAACGGCGTGCTGCGCCGCTCGCGTCGTGCGCCCGGCGGCTCCTGGGTGCCGCCATGCGTGCCCGCGGGCGTGGGGAACTCTCGCGGGGGCGGGCCCGGCCGCGAGAGCGGCGGGGGTGTCGCGGAGCGGTCGGGGGGGGGATCTCATGTCACGGCATCGCCCCACTGCGACTCTCCTCATTTCAACACGTCCCCCCCCCCCTCGGTCCGCGCACATGCCGCCCGCCAGCCATGACTTTATGCCCCCCCCTCTCTTGGACGCCCCCCTCTTGGACGCCCCCGAAGCGGGAGCGCGGCGAGCGGGGGGCTCCGAGGCGGAGATGTCTCCGAGGGAAGATGGGTCGCCTTAGGGTCACGAGTGCTCCTTCTGCCAACGGGCCAGGGATGAAGAATCACCCGCCTGTTCACGTGCAGTTCAAGGAGAGGTGGATCCTGAGTGCCAGCGGCGCCCAGGAGTCCAGAGACGCCATCTTCAGGTTGGGATCATGGGGGCAGGTGGGTCCCCATGATGAGCGGCATCCGCCGACGCCCGGGGGATCGGTCTGCGGGAACCTCGGCAGGCGGTGGATATGTATATATTCTGAACGCTTCGCGTATCCCCACCGGCAGCCTTTGGTCTTCCCCCACCTGACTCGGTTCCATCGCTGAGCCGTTCGGCTTGTGCAGGTCGGCCTGGAGTCTGGCGCCGGCCCGGCGACTCACTCCGTTGCCTACGCACATTCTTCTCGGCAGCCCGTTTATTTCGGTTCACGCTGCTGCGCCTATGTGCGTTTGCTTGTGAATTTAGTTCATTTTGTTCTGTGCATGTGCAACTGCGAGCTTGTCTTGCAGGTGCGAACTTGCCCGCCGACACTGGCGGCCTTGTTCGCAAATTCGCACCGTTTCGCAGCCCGGACGCCGCTTTCGCTCCCTGACCGTTGCCTTGGAGCCGCGAACCAAAAAGTATCCCCACTGGCTCATCCAGACACGATGCCCAGAGGGGTTGTTTCGAACTCTTAAGGGCCTCTGACCGTCTTTTCGGGGGGCTCTTGGAGCGTCTTGGGTGCCTCTGGGGGGGCTCCTGGGGACTCGAGCCGGCCGCTTGGTGGCCCCTCGGGGCCTCTTGGGCGCCTCTTGGGGCCCTCCAGGATCTCTCTTGAGAAAATGTGGGGGCCCCAGGATCACGGCAAGGACGGCCTACCGGCCCCCGTCCATCGTCCATCGTCCGTCATCTTATGATCATATCATGCCTTCCTCACCCCCTACGAGGAGAGGAGGAGGAGGAGGAGGAGGAGGAGGAGGAGGAGGAGGAGGAGGAGGAGGAGGAGAAAGGAAGAGGAGGAGGAGGAGACGAAGGAGGAGGAGGCGGAGGAGGAGGAGGAGGAGGAGGAGGAGGAGGAGGAGGGGGAGGATAAGGGCATTTGCGCATCGACGCAAACCTGTCCGCAGCTTCGAGGCGTCGAGGAGGACGAGGACGAGGAAGAGGATAATTGGAGGACTCGATGAGCAGGATGCTTAGAGGCGACTTGGAGCTCGTAGTCGTGCTGGGGGTGACGATGGTCATTGGTGGCAACGAGCACGAAGATGGTTGCAGCAGCACTGCCCGTGGTGAGGGAGATCAGCTCTCTGGGAATGCCCGGGGCTTGGACCGCGCTCGCTCTCGCTCGTCTTGCCCTCAGGTGCTGCTGGCCCCTGCAACACCCCCCTCCCCCTGATCACTCTTCTCCATCGCCCCTCCCTCCCAGCAGCCTGCTGCGTGCCACCGCCCAGGCGCCCCCCCCCGCCCGGATGGATGCTCGAGGAGGACCGCGAGGAGCAGGAAATCATTGCGAGAGTTGGGCTGCTGCACAAGCCAAGGTTTTGTGCGCGGGCTTGCGTAGATTGTCCTTCTTGTGGCTCCCGGCTTGCTCGGTGCAGCTCGTAGGCAACATCGTTCGCAGGGGAGCGCGATAAAGCAAACATTTGATGTCGGTGGTCCCTGCTTCTCCTCGGATTCCCTGTTCCGCACCGCCTCGCTGGCGAAACACACCTCCGTATCCGCGGCCTCGCGCTCTGGGCCCTTGGGCTGCGACCCCGCTGACACGGGGAGTCTCTCGCTGCGGAACGCGCCCCGGAATCCAGACCACGAGGGCACGGATATGGTTGGGCGTCGCGTAATGGGCGGGCGATGAAGGGGGGGCAGCGAGGTCTGCAGAAGCCCTTCGGGGCCCCTAAAAAGGGGCCCTGTAGGGCCCCCTAAAGGGGGCCTTTAGGGCCCCAGAGGGAGCCTTCAGGGCCAGAACAGTGCACCCTGCTCCCGCCCCTCCTTACGGCCCCCCATTCAAACGACGCCCGAGCGAGGAGACGGACATGTCCGCCGCTCGTGAGACCTCCTCCTTGCCGCCCCGCCCCCTGGGCCGCCCGCTGCGACGAGGCGGCCGGCCCGCGGCCTGGCCGGGCCCTGCTCTGCCCGGCCGGTGGGCGCAGGGCGCCCAGCGCCCAGCGGCGGCGGACGCCTCGGCCCGCGCCCGTGGTGCCAGAGTCACCGGGCGCGTTCCACTGCTCGCAAAGTGCCTGCTCGCAAACGTCCGAAAAGCATATGTCTGTTTCGATGACATGTATCGTAGCTCCCCCGCGGCGGATCCAAGCCACTTGCGAGTAGCTACTTTGCGAGTCGTGGAACGCGCTCGTCGACATATCGGGTCGGAGGATCGAGGCTCGAGAGTGCCTTTGGCTCACTCGCTTCTCTCGCTCCTCAGCGGGCGAGGAGCGGTGCAACGTGAACGTTTCCGCCGTCGGGGAACGCCTGCCCCTCCGGCGGCCGGAAAGTGTATAGCCCCGCGTGGCACCGTAGGAGTATACACTTTCCAGCCGGCCGGGGGGCAGGCGTCCGCGACGGCGAACAGAAATTGTGTGATACCGGTCTTTCCCCGCTGGATGAGGGGTCGGAGGATCGAGGCTCGCGCGTGCCTTTTGTTCAATCGCTTCGCTCATTCCGCCAGCCCACAGTGCATCGAAGATGCAGCTCCAGGGAGTTTGAACCATGAATCGGCGCGGGTATATCCTGGCCGAGAATGTGGTTCAATCCCGCTGAAACATCCCGCCAAGTCCAGCTTCAGCTCGCTTAATCCCTGGCTTAATCCGCCCCAGTCTGGATCAATGGCGCCTTGATCGAGCTTAATCGGCCTTAATCGTTCTCACGAAGACCTCCCAGGAGTTGCCTCCCAGGAGTTGTCTCCTAATTGCATCACTGTTGCTTTGTTGGCGTTCCCGTTGCGAGCTAGGAGGAGGAGGAGGCGGAGGAAGGGGAGGTGGAGGAGGAGGAGGAGGAGGAGGAGGTGGAATAGGAGGATCGAGACTCGCGTTTTCCTTCTATTCTCCGTTATGTGGTCAGTTGTGAACCCTATAGCCTACCCCTGCGAGTCTTGGGGCGTCAGACAGCCCTGACACCCATCGAACTCTGAACCACAGCCGGCGTTTAAAGCATCTGACCTGTAGTTGTAGGGTTCACACGCGGGTGCCTATCCGTTTTTTTGATCCTCCTGGGCTTCCTCGTCGCCACGGCTGGATTCCCCTCAAGATTCCACTCAGAGCGCACCCCAGGAGCTGTCCAGGGAGAGAGATTTGTCTGGCGCACGAGCGCGCGGCCGGGATCGTCTTCGTCGCCGCCGCCGCCGCCGCCGTCGTCGTCGTCGTCGTCGTCGTCGTCGTCGTCGTCGTCGTCGTCGTCGTCGTCGTGATTGTCATCGTCGTAGTCTCAGTCGTAGTCGTCGTCCTCGTTCGTCAGCGTCGTCTGCGTCGGCGTCCGCGTCGTCGTCGCCAACGTCCTGTCGGCGTCGGTGTCGCTTTGTGCCGTCACCTCGGCGGTGGCGGCGGAGGAGCAGGCGGAGGGGCAGGGAGGGGGTGAGGAGGTTGGGAGGAGGAGGGAGGAGAGGATGAGGGGGGGGAAAGCAGAAGGATTAGGAGGAGGAGGAGAAGGAAGAGGACGAGGAAGAAGAAGCTTCTTGGTACCTCCTGGTGACTTCCCGGGGCCTCTTGTGGACCTTGGGGGCCTCTGGGCCTCTAAGGGTTGGTCTTCGGATGCCGTCTTCGGGGCCTCACTTGGCCGTCGTTGGGGCCCGTTGGCGCCGCTTTAGGGCTGTTTTGGTTGTCTCTGGGGCCCTTTTCGGGCCTTCGCGGGGCCGTCTTGGGGGCACCTCGGGCCGTCTTGGGCCCCCATTGCAAGTCTTGGGGCCCTCTTGAAGCTTCTGGCGCCGTCTTGGGCACGGGTGCTTCTGGAGCCGCCTCGGGATTCCCGAAATGGGCGAGATCATTAAAGCCATTGAAGAGCACAACGAGGAGCGCCTGAGGGGCCGTCTTGAGACCATGTTGGTGCCATCTTGGGCCTTCCTAGGGCCAAATGGGAGGCGTATTGGGGCCGTCGTGCAGGCCATCGTGGACCATCTTGGCCATCTTTTAGGCGAATGATGGTATTTTGTTTTCCCGGTGGCTGGCTATTTGAGCCGAGACCCCCCAATGGGAAGTAGTTATAAGGAGTCCTTGTTTTCTAATCGGCCCGTCTCCTCTCCGCACATCCTCTCTACGAGTCTGTGGTGTCATGATAAACGTTGGT